GACTGAAATCAAAACAGAAAAGTGTTATTTGCCCTTTTCCCTGATCCTAAAACTTTATTTTATCGTATCATTAATTCCCACATCACAAGGTATACATTGATTTCTAGAAATCGTGTACCCTTGCATGAGCGTGTTGGGGCTTGGAATCTGGGATCTGGGCCGAGAAGAAATAAACCAAGAAATGAGGGATGTGAGCCTCGACCCAATAATGAATATTTAGTCCATGTAACATTTCTAAGCCAGAGATGGAATGCCAACAAACCGAGTCCTAGTGAAATTGGTATTGCTAAACGGTTGGATTTAGGTGTTGCTCGGTCGAGTCTTGGATGAATTATAATTGCTAAAAATAAGGATGAGTTTTGATAAGATTCGAATCATTCCAAGAATTAAAACCTGCGACCAATCATATGAGAAGTAAATTAATACGTAAGATGACTAGGTTCAGAGTCCTAATTGAAGTCAAAGAGGCCGCAACTTGATAAAGATAGAGTTTCGGTACGAAAGGGGTCTAATGGGATAATGTCAAGGATATCCAGGTACGTGTTGAAGAGTCACAGTCCAAATGAGATTCTACTTCGGCAGACATGGTCACGTAGACGGGACTTTCAACACAACACACAAACAAATGCTCTTCGTGAAACCTTCTCATATCCTGAGAAAAACAATAATTGCTTCACTAACCCCTCTGTCAGCACACATTCAGTTATGTTGAACATCAATAGGTTGACAAACTAGTGCCATACTCAGTTCGGTTGAATATCACTGGAGTCATAGAATCAAGAACTCTTAGTTGGGCAAGAGTCCTTGACTCTCTCGCCGAACGAGGTCACTTCAGTAGTTTTCTCGTCAAAGTGAGGTGTTACTTAGATTACTTAGTGTTCGACACATGGAAAGCCGAACCGTTATTGAACGTCATAGGCAAAGGCATAACCTTGTCTCCATGTTCGTAGAACCCTAGGCTGAGTGTGTTTCTTCCTCGATTGTAGTTGCTCGGTGCAGAAGTAAGGAAGCACATTTCATAACTACACCACCACATTCATCACATTCGCCCAACCAAGCTCGGTAAGGAATTGACATGCCCGCATTAGCAATACCACAGAAGGAAGTATTTAGCTTAATAATAATTCTACATGTGCTTCGTTGGTTTTCTAATTTCTAGAGTCAACAGAGCTATTGACTCTAGTATAATTCAAATTATTTAAGCTCTTTTAAAAAAATTGAAAACAAACGGAGAGGTGTTATTTTTGGTACTATTATCCTAATCCTTTCTTTTATCACATGATTCCCACACCACATGATTTGTACGTACGCATGTGAACCAACCCGTCCCTAGCTAGCTATCTCGTTTTTGTTTTTATTTCATTGGTTGTGCTAGGCACTTGAGGAACATGGTTTATTTGGTTGTAGATTCATGCTCCCACTGCCCGAATACTTATAAACATAACTTGTGGCCAGATGTGACTTGAAATTTTTCAACAACAAAGCCGTACTATTAAGTGGAGTCGGCAATATGAATCTTAAAAGGTCACTGCGTCTTGTGTCATATCTTTCGTTAGATCCAAATAGTTCAAGTCTTTTCTTAAAGTCTTTTAAAGTTTTTTTTCTATCCTTTTAGCCTTGAACCTCTATTTCGTAATCAAATCTTCAAAAAAAATATATTGAAAAAAAAAATTGAGGTGCATGGACCACCAACATTAACATTATCAAGTTTTGGACAAGGATTGTCTGCCCTCCCACTTTCGGTGCCCTCCCGTATCCTTCTGTTTGTGTGGTCATAGTTAAGCCACGTCAACATTTTATATTACTATTCATTTTTATTTTATTATCTCTATAAAAAAATAATATAAAATATTAACATGGCTTAACCGTGATCATATAAAACAAAAATGCACGAAAAGACACCGAAAATAAAAGGGCAAACAATCCTTGTCCTCAAGTTTTTAGTGAATGTGACAGTCTACAAACCACAAGGATTTTAATTGGAATAGCCGCAAAGGACACGAACATCATGGGGTGTGGCTTCTGGGGTGCAGGCGTGGGGGCCGGTATGTACAATTATAAATATGTGGTCTTTTATTAAGAAATGTTTGAGCGTAAGTTCCAAATACAGCAAGGAAACTCCAACCAGTCCCCAACATATTGAGCCGTTAGTAGGGACCCCCACTCCTCTTGGCATGGCCTCTATCCTAACTTTTTCTTATTAATCGGGTTCTAAGGGTTTTATTGACTGATGGATATGTTGTGATAAGATGTTGACAATTCTTACCACCCTACTTGAAATTTGATGTACTTCGGAGTTCAGTAATTTTACTTGTAAGTAAAAAAATTTATATTTAAATTTTGTGATATTAAAACATGAGTCCATTCTTTAAAATCATAAAAAAAAAAAAAGAAAGAAAAAAGCAAGCTTAATAACATTATTAAATTTTTTCCATTAAACTTGACATGGATACATTTTAAAATCAAAGAAAAAAGAATGTACCCATATAAGTTTAAAAATGGATTATAAAAAAATTGAATAGATTTTATATAAAAAATTGTACATTTTACATATAACAAATTGGTATATTTAAGAATGAGTACATTTTAAGGTTAAAAAGTTTTACATGAATGGGTACATATAATTAGCATGGGTACATTTAGCAAAATAAAAAGTACAAATAAAAAATATATATGGGTACAAATACAAATAAACTTAAAAAAATATGGGCACAAAAAGAAATTAATATATGGGTACAAATTAAAAAAGAATTACAAATTAAAAATGGGTACAAACTAAAACTAAAAATATATGATAAAAATTTAGTCATAAATATAAATATACTAATTGTAACATTTTTAACATTAAATGAATATATTTAGAAATAAAAAAAATATTTTATTATTGAAATAATTAATGATGTTATTAATACCCAAGAACTTTGATAAAAATTTGAAAATGAATAGGATTTTAATCAATGGAGTAGCAAAAGGAAGGATAAGAACCTAATTTCTCCTATTTTTAATCCCACAAATTATGGTTTTTTTTTTTAATTTAAAATCTCATTTATATAAACAACTAAAATTTCTAACTTTTAATTTAAAAAATATAGTAACATACATAGAAATAAATTATCACATTAATTTCAGGGATCTTGATCAAAAACTAAAAACCAACAAGATTTTAATTAAAAAATATTCATAACTAAGGACCGTATCTAAAGTCTCCCTATAATATAAGATAATATTCTCTTAATACACGAGATTACCTCAAAATGTATTTGGTTAATCACCAAACGCTCATCCCTCATAAAAATATAAAGATAAATTACACAATGGAGAAGTGCATATATTGCGTCTCATGCTTAATCAAGTATTGTAATCCATTTACACTATGTTTGGATGAAGATATTTAAGACTACTAAGGAATTTTAAAATGACGGAAATTAAAATGACAGGATTTTATTTTCTATAATTTGTGAATTTTCTTGTTTGGTTAACCTAAAAGAACAATGGAATTGAACACAGAATTTTTTATTTTTAAACTTTCAATTATAGAAATTGGGAAATGACACCTATTTACATGGAATTTAAAATTGGGAATTGGAGGTCCTAAATTCCAAGTTCTTTTTCCATGCAGAAATTCTAAATTTCTATGTTTATGAATCCAAATAAGGAAATTGATGCATGTCAATTTATAAATTCTAACTTTTATCTAAATTCCAAGTTTATTTTTCTCATCCAAACACATTGTTAGTTATTAATCAAAGTACTAATTGACTAACTCTTATTGTGATGATATTTTGAATTCGAATGCAAAGTAGAAAATACATTGCTTTAAACATCTTAGCTAAGTCCAAATTCGTTAGTTAGCATATGTTTAAACCAAAAACCTCGAAGCAACATACAATCGAAGCAAAAACTCTCTTTAATGCAAGTTCCTATCATTTTTCTTTTTCTTTCTTTTTTAATGGTGAAAGATGACCAAAATTTCAAGTTTTAAACGGATAATTAAATGAGTAGATTCTTGTTTTGATTTCATTCCTTAGTCAATTGAATCATAATTTAAACACAAGTAATTAAGAGTTGATTGCGTTGATTAGAAAAAGAAAGAAAAAGGAGCGGAGGAAGGAGGATTGAGCAGAGAATGTGCAAGAGAACATTCCAGCAGGGACGCAGAGAGAGAGAGAGAGAGAGATGTAGACAAATTAAGTAAAAATACTGAGAACCTAGTCAACATTGTGGGCCGCTTATCTTACACATGCACAACCCTGATTGAAGGCAATTCGGTCACATGCCCACCACATCATCCTCTTCTTTTTTTTAATCCAAGAGCATAAAAATCCCATCAGACTAAATTTTTGAAGAGTAATGTTAGAATGACGAAATCTATAAATTAAATTAGCAAACTAAATTAAATATCACCAATAGAAAATAAGCCTATTTATCAACGATTAAGTAATAATCCAATCACCAACTTTCATGTCATTTAATTTTCAAAATTTATTCTATAGATTTAGTCTTCCTAACATTACATTTTTTTGAGTAACTGAAACACGTGACATGTTATATTTACATGAATAAATATACAATCACAATGGGGTAACTCTGTAGTTGGGAATGAATTTCAGACTCGTATTACACACGATACGTCTTAGATTCGATTCCTGGTGCTGGTGAATCATATAATTGTAGTTAGAGAAAGATTGAAATACATTTGTCAGTCTTCCTAACCTCCGAAAAAATGAATTACCGTGATAAAAGAAATACCAACGTTTAAAGAGAAAACACGAATAAATGTACATCGTCAATATAATTTTTTTTTTTTTTAACAATCAATATTTTCTACACTAAGGGGAGAATGTGGGTTTGGCCTCATTATATGCTATCGATAATGTGGTTCAAATTTAGCGAGAATCGAACTTAAGATTTATAACTTTAAAGTGAAAAAGAATATCCTTATACCGTAGTACTAAATAATCATAATCAATTTAATATAAGTAAAATAATAACACTCCTTGTCAGTAATAAAAGAAATACCCACTCGCATGTCCTGTACTCCTGTCCTAGTCTTCTTTACTTGTATCCTTCATTTCCATTGTTCTCTTTACTTAGTTTTTCCCTCTCACAACATTTATAAAACAAATTAAAGCTTCCATTGATTCTTCCCAAAATCCCACCGCCACCTTCCCATTTTTGATTAGTTTGACAACTTTTTGAGCTTCTTTCATCTTCTTTAAGACTGCCCAAAAATCCATAAAAGCCCAGAATCTTTGACACTTTTTCTTCTTTGCTAAATTCAAGGCTGACAGTTTGAAAATATTTACCTAAAAAGAAAATCTTGACACCATCATTGTCATCCTTGTACTTCCATCAACTTTTTTCAACCCCTTAAATTTTTCATTATTTTTCTTGCTCCTCCAATCCAATCTCTCCATTCACTCCCCAAATCTTCAAGATCTCCCAATTGGGTCTCCATCATTTGCTCCAAAGGATTCACCCACTCCCCATTTTCTCTGCACTCTGTTCGTTTTTCTATGTCTTCGAAAAACCACCAGCACTGCCACAGCTTGGTCGTCGACAGGCAATGCAAGATCAGGAAGCGCGGCGGCGGCTCGTCTTCCTCTTCGTCTTCCTTGGTCCGTAGGTACAGACTGAAGAGGGCAATCCTGGTCGGAAAGCGAGGCGGTTCCAGCACGCCAGTCCCCACTTGGAAGACTCTGAGCGCCGCGGCGGCGGTGGAGGGATCACCTTGTACGGCGACGATGGTGGCAAATGGGGATGAGGATGATGAGAAGATGGCGAAGCTGCAGCAGCGGAGACCGGCTTCGGAACACGATGGCCGCGGCGGCGGTAAAGGGAAGGAACTGGTGTCGGTTTCGGTGAGAAAGCTGGCGGCGACTTTGTGGGAAATGAATGAACAAGAACAAGTTCCTTTGAGAAAGAAGGATTCCAAAGTTGCTCAAGTTCCTTCCTTAGCCGGTTCCTTGCCGCCAAAGTCATCAGATCCATCCTCTACTCCTATTTATGAGGTAAGGATTATTTTATTTATTTATTTACTTTTTCTTTTGATATTGTCTTTATATATTCAATGAAAATGCAAAATAAGAGAACCAAAAAATTTGCAGAAAAGAAAATGAGTTGGAAAATTCACTTTGTTTATCGAGCTTCTTGTGTTTACATATTAGATAGTAACACAAATCCAAATTGTTCATTTTTTTGTTAGCATTATTCAATGGCAAATGAATTTGGCAAACATTTTTTTTTCTTGGCTTATTCAATATAAATGTCATAAATTAGATAAATTTATTTATTCTTTTTAGAATCTGGTATTAGCATTAAAAAAATCTCATTCTATACCATTTATTAGTCCATTTTTCTTTCTGATTATAAAAAAATTTAAACGCAAAATAAATTTTTTAGAGTGCCAACAATTCCCTTCTTTTTTATACAAGCTATACTCTATATTAATTTATGCTAAGGAGATAGAAAGTTGAAAATAAAACCTTAATCACCAAGTCGAAGAGATTTGTATTTTCTGATATATATTGTTATTATATAGAATGGAAGTGTAAGTTTCTTGTTTATTAATTCGAGTTTGAAAGTAATATTGCTTGTTGTTGGGAATTGTGCAGAGAAAAAATGAAAATGGGGATGGTGGACGCCAGAGAGGATTGTCGGTCGTTTCTCAGAAACATTGTTTGAATGATTACCAAATGGGAGGCTTCGAGAGACCTACAAGTGCCAGTTTAACTGAGGTAAAAGTTCAACTGCATTTCAATCTCAATATATATATTTCATTGATAAAAAAAAAAAAAAAAAAAAGAGGTACATGTTTTTCCGGAATTTATTTTTACAGTTTGTGTGGAAGGGGGTGAAATTTTTTTAAAAAAAATGACAAGAAGATGTTGACAGTGATTCAAATAAAGTTTGTCCCCATAGAATGGATCATAAATATCAAATCTAGTTTTCTGCCTTGTCATTTTCAATGAATAGGATTTAAATTTTTGTATTTGAAAAAGTTGATCCAGTTCATCACTTTCGAGTTTAAAAATTGCACAATTGGCTAGAATAATCATTTTTCGACATTTGGGTGTGGAAATGACCAATTAGCTGTGTCGAAGATCGTTTCTGCAACCAAATGTCAAAAAATGACCAATCATGTTAATTGCCCTTAAAAATTAGCTCTTCAATTTAAATAATTAATCTAATGCATTTGCTTAAATGGTCAACTAGAATGTTTGTTACTTAATAAATGATGTGTTATCAATAGGAAATAAGTGCGTTAATCGACACTTATTTAATAAAACAACCACATCATTTGATTTACACAATTTGGTTTAAAAATTTAGTTTTCCTAATATTATTTCAAAAAGAATGTTTGTTATACTTAACAAAAATTCTACCATGCTTTGAAGTCTCATACTTCGGAACACCATAAAAAATCCCATTGCTTAAAGTACGCACTCCTGCGCCCGAGAATTCGAGTTCGCTTCCTTATTCCGTGATATCGCTTGTATCAAAAAGAATTTGTTACTTCAATTTTGAGTGGACATGTTGATTGCATTAGGCTGCAAGGTTTTCAAGAGTGAATTTCTAGGATGATGAATAAGTAGACATGTTGATTGAATTTCACAATGTGCAGGTCAAATATCAATCCTGTGGGAAACCTGATCGAAAATGCATACACGGATTTAAGACCGGTTTGAAGGATGTCAGTAGTGGCCTTTCTACATCTAAAGAGCTTGTGAAAGTTCTTACTCGCGTTTCGGGTCTTAAAGAGCAGCATTCTTTAACTACAACCCTACTCTCAGCCTTACGAGTTGAGCTTGATCGAGCACGTGTCCAGGTTCATCAAATGATCCGAGAACAGAGGTCTAACTGCGACGAAATTGAGTATCTCATGAAGAAGTTCGCAGAAGAAAAGACGGCCTGGAAAAGTAAGGAGCGAGAGAGGATACGTGCTGCAATAGCGTGCATGGCAGAAGAACTTGAGGTGGAGAAGAAGCTAAGAAGACAAACAGAAAGGTTGAACAAGAAGCTAGGGAAAGAACTGGCAGATAAAGAGGCAGCTCTGTCGAAGGCCACGAAAGAGCTCGAGAGGGAGAAGAGGGCAAAAGAGATTTTTGAACAAGTTTGTGATGAGTTAGCCACAGGTCTTGGGGAGGACAGAGCACAAGTCGAAGAGCTAAAGAAAGAATCGGAGAAAGTCCGTGAAGAAGTGGAGAAGGAGAGGGAAATGCTTCAGCTAGCCGATGTGTTGCGCGAGGAGAGAGTCCAGATGAAGCTTTCTGAAGCCAAATATCATTTTGAGGAGAAAAATGCCGCCGTGGAACAGCTAAAGAATGAACTAGAGGCTCATTTGAGATCCAAAACGCGCGAAGGTAGTCACAGTTCTCCAGATTTCAGTAAAATTAAGGAACTCGAGGCTTATTTAAAGAAGATAAATTTTGGATCATTTCAGAACTCGAAGATAGAAGGGAATGAAATGGAAGTTGCTGCGTACAGAGTGGAATGTGAAGACGATTCAAAACGGACTTCAGTTGATAGCGATCTTCATTCCATCGAGCTAAGCATGGACAACAACAACAAGAGCTACAAATGGAGTTACAGTTGTGGAGATGATACTGAAGATGATTCAAAGCGGACTTCGGTTGATAAACAATTCAAAGGGAGAAGATCGCTCTCTGAAAAAATACAATGGGAAAGCATATGCTTAAACAAAAATTCCAGCGGTATCGATTGGGAGTTTGGCGTAAAATCTCAATGGCAGTCAGACGGGCGGCTTATAGAAATATCAGAGCTTGTTCCTCTAACTCAAACCCCAGAACATGAAACCGAAACAAAGAAAAATGGTTCTGTTAAGGGTCTCGCAGACCATAGGTTATCGAATTCAAAAGTGGTTCCGATCCATAGCCTAGCCAGTGCAACTTGTCAGTTCCAATCCTTTCCGATGAAGGATCCAGGAAACGAAGTATGCGGAAGTTAGACGGATGGGCCACAAGGATGGTTCGAAGCTCCAACTAGCAGGAAGAAAAGACCAATGCCGGGATCAAGAGAATATCGACGTTTTCATGTTACTTCTTCCCTGCAACGCATTACTTTGCTTGTGTTTTCAAATCTTGCCACTAAAATTGTTTGCATCGATCATGTTCGATATTACAGATAGAACAAATGTATATACACTTTTACACATTGCTTTGTATGGAACCAAATATAATTTGTTTTGAGTTCTGAGAAATGTACATCATTTGCTGCATGGTTTCTTCTTGATCCTTAGGGATAGCGAACGTTACGAACCTCGCCAAGTCGACAGCCACATGGTTGGCGAAATTCTTGCCGTTCAAGGCAAGGCGCTCACCATTTTTGCATTAGCCGCACTTGGACAACACAATAGCTTACATTTTTATGATTGTAGAGCAATGCCGGATGCAACGCGCCTAGTTCTAGATGAGCTTGCGAATCTGAAGCATTGTGGAGAACGCATTTCAAGGGTAGAGCGAAAAACCGTAACTACTTAAGTAGGTCGGCGGTCGCATTCAGAATCAACATAACAAATTCAACATGTTTGGGAAAACATATTTATGAACTTGATCTCCATACACAGCAAGAAAGTACAGAACCATATTAAACTTCATCTGCAGCAGATTCTTTATGGTACAAATCAGTGGGAATGATTCACATTTGACAAACGAGAACCATATGCGAAAGCAAGGCGACCTGGTTACAGAGGAAATACATCATTGACGATATATGTACAAAAGGGTCGTCTGATTATTATTGAACAGGCCTCCATTTTGCAAACGACTGTCGGATGGTGAACTGATGAAACCTAATTATGGCTTATGTGAGACTTCGTGATCGGTCTTTGCCGAGGCTGATGTGAAAGTAACTGGAGTTGCTGGATGGTCCCTCACGATCAAGCTAAGCACTTCGGGCCGTGAATAGTGGCCAACCACATCAAAGTCAAATTTCGCCCTTGCTATTTCTCCAAGATCTATGCAACATTTGGACATTAGAAATATCAGAGCTCAGTCTCCTTAAACAAAACAGCTAAAACTCTAGACATAGTATGACAGTTTCACTACAAGCGGAATGCATCTCTCTTTATACTAATTTCTTTGTTTACAGTTTCGGTTGTATAGTCCACTAAATGAGTGCTTATTTGATTTACCACTATATTCGATTCCTCCTATGTGAGTTTGTGCGGTCATTCTAAACTTCGAGCAGGCAATATAACTATTTAAGGAAAACACTTGTCCTCATGAAACGTAGCCACAAGCTTGCAACCATAACCACCATAATCTATGTGCCTGTGTGAGAGAGAGGATCAATCAAATTATATTATCAACTAAACCATATTGCCTCGCATCATACACATAACAGCACAACAGAGAGCCTAGATCATAGAGTTTCAGTAAATTATACCGACACTTACTTTCAAATACTTCTTATTTTTAAAAGCTCTGTACCGCTTCCCCACCATATTGAAATTTAGAGAAACTTATTATACCATACTAGGGTTCTCATTTTACTAGAAATGTTACATTAAGGTTGCATATCAACTGATGCATCTGGTGTCCGTTTTATGTTTAGATATTATCCGAAACAGACAAAATATAGGAAATATCGTAAAGGCAGATGTAGTAACTTGAGGTTAAGTTATGCTGAAATCTATTATGGGATGTGAGGGTACTTTAATTTCTGAAAATAGAATGGAGGTTCCTGCCATTTCGCTTAAGTTGAAGTTTTTCTAATTTGCACTATATCTCAAAGCCGGATTGTTGTAGCTCAAAATTATGTCAGCACAGCTTGTAATCTAGATGCTTAATTGCTGTTAGAAGAGAATAAGGAGATGACATACCGAGATCTGCTGAGATGAGTGCCTCCCCATCATAATTGGGTCCAGCAAGAACAGTCCCCGACGGTGAGATAATAACACTGCCTCCAGCACAGACGACAGAATCTGGAGCAGGTTCCTCTCCTGCAAATGCATATTCTGGAGGAGGGGGGTAGTCTTTCCTTCGACAGAACTGATTGGCAGATAGGACAAAACACCCACCCTCTAAGGCAATATGAGTCATTGATGCTTGCCATAAATCCCTGGAATCAGCCGTAGGAGCACAATATATCTCAATGCCTGCACACAACAAGGCATCCTGCATCAAGTCATAGTACTAAAGCATCAAAAGCAATACTAAGAACACCTTTAAACTCCACCAAGAAATGCATCGTTTCTACCTTTAATTTTCATTTCACGTTGAGGTAAAAACTGTCTTGAACTAAAACACAGTTGATGCACAAAGTTGGATCAACTTAGATTGGACCCTAAAACCACACAAACGCACAGGAACACAAAGATGTATCATGGTTCACCTTCACCTGAAGTTGGGCTTTGTTCACGCTGGTGTAGTTCTGTTTCATTATGCAAATGTAGGTTACATTGTACAGGAGTTTGAGAGAGTGGAGAGTCCAGGGTTTACCATGAGAGTCCTCTCTCAAATGAGGGTGGGGTTGCCCTTATAGAGTAAAGGATAGAATAACGGCAAGCCTCCCCTTTGCATATATTCAAGCTGGCTAACTAAGGCCCAAATATGATAAAATATGATATCAACAAACACACGGATGTTCTCGAGTCGTTGTGTTGGAAAGAAAGTAGCTAGGAAAAACCATGTATAGAATGGTTGGTAAATTGCCAACTTGGTAAGGACAACCAGACTATGCCACAAATGTTGGCAGACTATTCTTAAGTCTTTAGAAAGAAGTGTAAGTGTAAATCAAGCCAGTGTCTTATTTCAATTTGAGTTAATTGAGTAGCAACATACTCATCCAATCGCCCAGGAACCTAGAAACTGACTCAACCCCACATAAAGATCGCAGAACAGTATACTTAACTCAACTACCTAGATAGCCAAATAATCTTTTTGACCTGATACCTGTCTGTATACAAGTCAACACCCCATATGGAACTCAAACTTGCATGGCAAAGCATGAAAACTGGAAGTAAGCAGGTTCAAACAGGGCAATAGCTTGGAAGTAAAATGAGAAACCCAAATAGTATTGACTGCCCATGTAAAGCCATCCTTCATTCATATAGCACTAAACTAAATGATGCAATTACAAACACCAAAATAAGAAATGAAAAGAAATTGTAAAATAGCTTCGAAGAAAACTGAAGTATTTAAAAATGTGAGTCAAAAATAATTAATGAAGTGTGATATTTCAAAATTTCCTGTTCAAATAACTAACCTTTAGCATACATTGCTGTCCTTAGAAGTGGCATCTTATTTTCCCAACAAATGGCAGCACCTATTTTTCCAATCGGAGTCTCAAACACAGGAATTGTAGATCCATCTCCAAATCCCCAAATGATCCGCTCCAGTGCTGTGGGCATCATTTTTCGGTGCTTTCCCAAGTAGCAACCTTGAGAATCAAAAAACAGAACAGTGCAATAGAGTGTATATCCATCTCTCTCTATCACACCCATTACCAGGAATACCTTGTACTTTCCAGCCATTGCTGCCAATCGATCAACTTCAGGACCTGCATTAGTTAACAAAAAAAGTGAAACTACATATCATACGTTCACAATTCTATTCGTAGACTGCATTTGGGTCAAACAATGACAATTTTAGAACATAGTGTCCGCCTTTGTTTTGATTTAAGACCAAAATATGATAGCATGCCTCAGTAAAGTTATTAACACTTGGTGTAACATAAGATTTGAATTCCATATATTAGGAAAACAATAAGCCAACTGAGATACTTCTAATAAAATTTAGTTGATAAGATCCACTTGCAAAACAGTGGTGTAGAATGTTTCGCTGAGAGCCTGACATGAACCACTAGTGTCCTGTTTTAGCAACCACAATTAACTCATGAAGAGCAGGATAGATATGCCCGCACTTCTCATGCCAACCACTGGCATCCTTTTGGCCAAGTAAAAACAGTTAAGATGCTTAGTTCTATTCAATGCATTGAGAGACCATTTTCCAATGAACTAATGTTCTTTTTTGAACTTTGACAGATAAAAAAAAAAGAAATAATAGTATAACCAACCAAAAAGAAGAAAAAAACAAAAGAAGTCTTTTCCACTTTTTTTTTTTTTTTTTTTTTTTTGTTGTTGTTGTTGTTGTTTTTGCTTCCAAAACATTCAACAGAGTTTTTGCCAAAAAACAAATATTCACTAGAATCAATTTCCTCTGGAATCTAACTTTCATTGGAAAAAAAATAAAGGACGGCAGTTAATTCTCTTCACTACAATAAAGCAACGAAATTATAAGTAATAGCTACTGATTGAATTTGAAGTTTAACGATAAACTGATGCTTAACCATAACCATAGCCATAGTAGTTCATTGCACCACAGGTACACAGCTTAAATTTTCTTGACTCCAAAAAGCAAATAACTTATAGCAACTAATAGACGAATTTGAAGCTTAAACACCGACTGACATTTCAATGCACCGAATACATTTCAATCCACCACTCAATCAACCTGGGAATTCTAAAGAATTCATTTTATCTCTGTTTCTTACACATGACCAATGCATGAAATCATCAAGAAAGAAAAAAACAAAGTAGTTTTACCAGGCACATCAATGGCAGCAGCATGATACTTTCTGAAGTCTTCTTTACCCTTAGCTGTTCTGTTCCCAATGACAACGCCAAAATTCGACCCACGTGGATAACCACCCACAAATGCTTCAGGAAACACAACCAGCTGGGCACCATATCCTGCTGCTTCAGCCAATAACCTCTCAGCCTTATCTACGCATTCAATCAGAAATCAGATCCACCAAAAATATAAAATATCTTCAATTTACCTAAGAAACATAAATGCAGCTAATTGGGTTAGATCAAAAATCATATCTCGAAAGCTTAATTTCCAATGTAGTCAGGATTCAGGAATGAAAAGATAAATAATAATTGAAACTTATACTTCAGAAATTCTGGCTAGGAATTAATGCATTTTCTTTTCAACAGGTCAACTGGACCAATCACCATATTTGCATCGGTCTTATATATGATTCTCAAACAAAAATATGTTGGGAAATCTACAAGCAATCCCTATGTGGTTTACCCCATTTAACAAATGAATTGAGGTCTGTTAGTCGTTGTGGTCTCCTCGGGTAGTCAAATCTGGTTGGATTGAAAATACATTCCTTTCTTATACCTGAACACGTATCACTGGCAACCTCCAAAAAGAAGTACTTCCTCATCAGTCGTGACCATGTTACTCTTTCTCCCCAAGTTTTCTCCATAACATAGCGCAAACCCCTCTCTCAGAATTCAAGAGCCAAATCATTCAAGGAAAGTATAGAAGTCTAAATTTCTTCTTATTCCTCTATCAACCCACTCACATTCACACTCTGAAAGTCTGAATGGGGAACCCTCACAAGGAGAAATGTTTTGTCACAATCTCAATGCAATTGGAAATGAAGAAAAACAATCAATGTCTTCAGCTGCCTCTCTACATGTGATAACACCAAGTTTTTTTCGAGCTTTATGAGTCGGGTATAGCTAAAGATGGTATGAGCCTATTATTTTGTTTGAGCTCAGCTCATTTCTTTTACAATCTGAGTTCAAACAAGACGAATCAATCTCAAACTGTATCAATCCAATTTACAACCTACACTAATTAGCAATATTTCCACAAAACAAGAAGTAAAAAAAATATACAACCACAGCAATTTTGAGATTTTGACCAGGCAGCACTGGATTTATTTATTTATTTATTTGAACGAATGATATTTTATTCAGTAGATAGTGGACTAAACCTCATAATAAGCTAGCAATAATGTAGTTCAAATTCGCATGGGACGAGAATCCGACTAAGACCCCTCACAAAATCATTAAACAAATTTTACAAGTTGTCAAAGGATTAACAAATTTTACAAGTTACTCGAAATTAATGAGAAGTTGAAACAATAAAATGAAGAAAAAAAACCAAAATCCAAAACCCAAAATTGTAAAGTTAAAACCTCTGAATTGGATTGGGGAAAGCAACATAAACATAAACAGTGAGAAGGAAAATGAAGAAGTAAATAAAGAGTTGGGAGTAAGATGAGAGAGAAAGGGGACCTAGAGTGGCAGGGGTGTCGTAGAAGACGGTGGAGGCTTGGACGACGGTGGCGCGGACAGTGGGGGCGGAGTAGTCGGTTCCCATGTCGACCTCCGCGATCAGTGGGGAAGACGAGGGTACCAGAGCCATTTGAATTTAATCTTTTGCGCTTCTTGTGTATTTTGTGTGTGTGTGGCTGAAGGAGGAGGATGACCGATCAATTTGGTACGACGAGAATTTCTGATGAATATGCGTTGAGTGAGCGAGGAGTGACGGGCATCGGAAACTCTAGAAACTCGAACGTGACGTGTGAATTGTTGGTGGTGTGGCGGCTATTGTTTTTGGCACGTGATATAGAAATAAAGAAAAATCCCACTTTACAACTCTGATAAATTATTTTAGTTCAATAATATTATTCTTATCATGTCTTCATATCATTTTATGTAGCATTTGATTTGGACAACCATATCATTTAAATTAATTAGAATTTAAGTTAAATTAAAAACCTTCAATAAACCAATAATTAAAAAAAAAAGAATTAAATGGTCATTGTGGCATACGAGGAGTCTTCTCCTTCTTTCCTCGTTCAATCCTGCTTCTTCTCCCGTTTCTTCTTCCACGTCAGTTCTTTCATCCCATTTTTTTAGGTCGGTCAAATCCACCACAATCTAAATTAAATCTCATACGGCAAGGTTCATGTGCTCCCCTATTTGGATTATTGATGCACATCTATCATTTTTTTCAATGAACCTTGTCGTACACTTGCAGTGGAATTTTCCAAACTCGTTCAATTTCGGTCAAATCTGAAACCCGATTTAGGAGATGGAATATCTCCGGTGTCTTGAAACCGACTTTGAATAGCCAGGTACATTGGAAGTTGGACTATGAGAATTCTCGGATGTCTCCGAGCTCTTGTCCTCTACATGCCCCTTCCCCACAAACCACAAATTATCGAAGATTCTGCTTAACCTAGATGGCAGCAATTGAGCACCACAATCTAAATTAAATCTCATACGGCAATCTCTACTAATTTAGATTGTGGTGGATTTGATATATTTGAAAAAACGGCGTGAAAGAACTAGTGTGGAAGAAGAAATGGGAGAAGAAGCAGGATTGAACGCGGAAGGAACAAGAAGACTCCTCATATGCCACAATCACCATTTAATTATTTTATTTTATTTTATGAAAAAGCGCAAATATATTAAAGAGAAGTCCCCTTAGTACATCCAGACCAGTACAATAAAAAAGGAAAGCTTGACTACTAGAAGACGTGATGGACCTATCCCAAACATGGAGGTTTGCGAATCGAAGCATTGTGGAGAATGCATTTCAAGGGTAGAGCGAAGAACCGTAACTACTTAAGTAGGTCTGCGGTCGCATTCAGAATCAACATAACAAATTCAACATGTTTGGGAAAACATATTTATGAACTTGATCTCCATACACAGCAAGAAAGTACAGAACCATATTAAACTTCATCTGTAGCAGATTCTTTATGGTACAAATCAGTGGGAACGATACATTTGACAAACGAGAACCATATTGGAAAGCAAGGCGACCTGGATACAGAGGAAATACATCATTGACGATTATATGTACAAAAGGGTCGTCTGATTATTATTGAACAGGCCTCCATTTTGCAAACCACTGTCGGATGGTGAACTGATGAAACCTAATTATGGCTTATGTGAGACTTTGCGATCGGTATTTGCTGAGGCTGATGTGAAAGTAACTGGAGTTGCTGGATGGTCCCTCACGATCAAGCTAAGCACTTCGGGCCGTGAAAAGTGGCCAACCACATCAAAGCCAAATTTCTCCCTTGCTATTTCTCCAAGATCTATGCAACATTTGGACATTAGAAATATCAGAGCTCAGTCTCCTTAAACAAAACAGCTAAAACTCTAGACATAGTATGATAGTTTTACTACAGGCGGAATGCATCTCTCTTTATAGTTTATACTAATTTCTTTGTTTACAGTTTCGGTTGTATAGTCCACTAAATGAGTGCTTATTTGTTTACAGTTTCTTTGTTTACAGTTTCGGTTGTATATTCAATTCCTCCTATGTGAGTTTGTGCAGTCATTCTAAACTTCGGGCAGGCAATATAACTATTTAAGGAAAACACTTGTCCTCATGAAACGTAGCCACAAGCATGCAACCATAACCACCATAATCTATGTGCCTGTGTGAGAGAGAGGATCAATCAAATTATATTATCAACTAAACCATATTGCCTCGCATCATACACATAACAGCACAACAGAGAGCCTAGATCATAGAGTTTCAGTAAATTATACCAACACTTACTTTCAAATACTTCTTATTTTTAAAAGCTCTGTACCGCTTCCCCGCCATATTGAAATTTAGAGAACCTTCTTATACCATACTAGGGTTCTCATTTTACTAGAAATGTTCCATTAAGGTTGCATATCAACTGATGCATCTGGTGTCCCTTTTATGTTTAGATATTATTCAAAACAGACAAAATATAGGAAATATCGTAAAGGCAGATGTAGTAACTTGAGGTTAAGTTATGCTGAAATCTATTATGGGATGTGAGGGTACTTTAATTTCTGAAAATAGAATGGAGGTTCCTGCCATTTCGCTTAAGTTGAAGTTTTTCTAATTTCCACTACATCTCAAAGCCGGATTGTTGTAGCTCAAAATTATGTCAGCACAGCTTGCAATCTAGATGCTTAATTGCTGTTAGAAGAGAATAAGCAGATGACATACCGAGATCTGCTGAGATGAGTGCCTCCCCATCATAATTGGGTCCAGCAAGAACAGTCCCCGACGGTGAGATAATAACACTGCCTCCGGCACAGACGACAGAATCTGGAGCAGGTTCCTCTCCTGCAAATGCATATTCTGGAGGAGGGGGGTAGTCTTTCCTTCGACAGAACTGATTGGCTGATAGGACAAAACACCCACCCTCTAAGGCAATATGAGTCATTGATGCTTGCCATAAATCCCTGGAATCAGCCGTAGGAGCACAATATATCTCAATGCCTGCACACAACAAGGCATCCTGCATCAAGTCATAGTACTAAAGCATCAAAAGCAATACTAAGAACGCCTTTAAACTCCACCAAGAAATGCATCGTTTCTACCTTTAATTTTCATGTTCACGTTGACGTAAAAACTGTCTTGAACTAAAACACAGTTGATGCACAAAGTTGGATCAACTTAGATTGGACCCTAAAACCACACAAACGCACAGGAACACAAAGATGTATCATGGTTCACCTTCACCTGAAGTTGGGCTACGTTCACGCTGCTGTAGTTCTGTTTCATTATGCAAATGTAGGTTACATTGTACAGGAGTTTGAGAGAGTGGAGAGTCCAGGGTTTACCATGAGAGTCCTCTCTCAAATGAGGGTGGGGTTGCCCTTATAGAGTAAAGGATAGAATAAGGGCAAGCCTCCCCTTTGCATATATTCAAGCTGGGTAACTAAGGCCCAAATATGATAAAATATGATATCAACAAACACACGGATGTTCTCGAGTCATTGTGTTGGAAAGAAAGTAGCTAGGAAAAACCATGTATTGAATGGATGGTAAATTGCCAAACTTGGTAAGGACAACCAGACTATGCCACAAATGTTGGCAGACTAATCTTAAGTCTTGAGAAAGAAGTGTAAGTGTAAATCAAGCCAGTGTATTATTTCAATTTGAGTTAATTGAGTAGCAACATACTCATCCAATCGCCCAGGAACCTAGAAACTGACTCAACCCCACATAAAGATCGCAGAACAGTATACTTAACTCAACTACCTAGATAGCCAAATAATCTTTTTGACCTGATACCTGTCTGTATACAAGTCAACACCCCATATGGAACTCAAACTTGCATGGCAAAGCATGAAAACTGGAAGTAAGCAGGTTCAAACAGGGCTATAGCTTGGAAGTAATATGAGAAACCCAAATAGCTAACCTTTAGCAAGGTAAAATGAGAAACCCATGTAAAGCCATCCTTCATTCATATAGCACTAAACTAAATGATGCAATTACAAACACCAAACTAAGAAATGAAAAGAAATTGTATAATAGCTTCGAATAAAACTGAAGTATTTAAAAAGTGAGTCAAAATTAATTAATGAAGTGTGATATGTCAAAATTTCCTGTTCAAATAACTGACCTTTAGCATACATTGCTGTCCTTAGAAGTGGCATCCTATTTTCCCAACAAATGGCAGCACCTATTTTTCCAATCGGAGTCTCAAACACAGGAATTGTAGATCCATCTCCAAATCCCCAAATGATCCGCTCCAGTGCTGTGGGCATCATTTTTCGGTGCTTTCCCAAGTAGCAACCTTGAGAATCAAAAAACAGAACAGTGCAATAGAGTGTATATCCATCTCTCTCTATCACACCCATTACCAGGAATACCTTGTACTTTCCAGCCATTGCTGCCAATCGATCAACTTCAGGACCTGCATTAGTTAACCAAAAAAGTGAAACTACATATCATACGTTCACAATTCTATTCGTAGACTGCATTTGGGTCAAACAATGACAATTTTAGAACATAGTGTCCGCCTTTGTTTTGATTTAAGATCAAAATATGATAGCATGCCTCAGTAAAGTTATTAACACTTGGTGTAACATAAGATTTGAATTCCATATATTAGGAAAACAATAAGCCAACTGAGATACTTCTAATAAAATTTAGTTGATAAGATCCACTTGCAAAACAGTGGTGTAGAATGTTTCGCTGAGAGCCTGACATGAACCACTAGTGTCCTTTTTTAGCACCACAATTAACTCATGAAGAGCGGGACAGATATACCCGCACTTCTCATGCCAACCACTGGCATCCTTTTGGCCAAGTAAAAACAGTTAAGATGCTCAGTTCTATTCAATGAACTAATGTTCTTTTTTGAACTTTGACGGATATAAAAAAAAAGAAATAATAGTATAACCAACAAAAAAGAAGAAAAAACAAAAGAAGCCTTTTCCACCTTTTTTTTTTTTTTTTTTTTTTTTTGTTGTTGTTGTTGTCGTCGTTTTTGCATCCAAACATTCAACAGAGTCTTCGCCAAAAAACGAATATTCACTAGAATCAATTTCCTCTGGAATCTAACTTTCATTGGAAAAAAATATAGGACGGCAGTTAATTCTTTTCACTATAATAAAGCAACAAAATTATAAGTAATAGCTACTAATTGAATTTGAAGTTTAACGATAAACTGATGCTTAACCATAACCATAGCCATAGCAGTTCATTGCACCACAGGTCCACAGCTTAAATTTTCTTGACTCCAAAAAACAAATAACTTATAGCAACTAATAGACGAATTTGAAGCTTAAACACCGACTGACATTTCAATGCACCGAATGCATTTCAATCCACCACTCAATCAACCTGGGAATTCTAAAGAATTCATTTTATCTCAGTTTCTTACACATGACCAATGCATGAAATCATCAAGAAAGAAAAAAACAAAGTAGTTTTACCAGGCACATCAATGGCAGCAGCATGATACTTTCTGAAGTCTTCTTTACCCTTAGCTGTTCTGTTCCCCATGACAACGCCAAAATTCGACCCACGTGGATAACCACCCACAAATGCTTCAGGAAACACAACCAGCTGGGCACCATATCCTGCTGCTTCAGCCAATAACCTCTCAGCCTTATCTACGCATTCAATCAGAAATCAGATCCACCAAAAATACAAAATATCTTCAATTTACCTAAGAAACATGAATGCAGCAAATTGGGTTAGATCAAAAATCATATCTCGAAAGCTTAATTTCCAATGTAGTCAGGATTCAGGAATGAAAAGATAAATAACAATTGAAACTTATACTTCAGAAATTCTGGCTAGGAATTTATGCATTTTCTTTTCAACAGGTCAACTGGACCAATCACCATATTTGCATCGGTCTTATATATGATTCTCAAACAAAAATATGTTGGGAAATCTACAAGCAACCCCTATGTGGTTTACCCCATTTAACAAATGAATTGTGGTCTGTTAGTCGTTGTGGTCTCCTCGGGTAGTCAAATCTGGTTGGATCGAAAATACATTCCTTTCTTATACCTGAACACGTATCACTGGCAACCTCCAAAAAGAAGTACTTCCTCATCAGTCGTGACCATGCTACTCTTTCTCCCCAAGTTTTCTCCATAACATAGCGCAAACCCCTCTCTCAGAATTCAAGAGCCAAATCATGCAAGGAAAGTATAGAAGTCTAAATTTCTTCTTATTCCTCTATCAACCCACTCACATTCACCCTCTGAAAGTCTGAATGGGGAACCCTCACAAGGAGAAATGTTTTGTCACAATCTCAACGCAATTGGAAATGAAGAAAAACAATCAATGTCTTCAGCTGCCTCTCTACATGTGATACACCAAGTTTTTTTCGAGCTTTATGAGTCGAGTGTAGCTAAAGATGGTATGAGCCTAATATTTTGTTTGAGCCCAGCTCATTTCTTTTACAATCTGAGTTCAAACAAGACGAGTCAATCTCAAACTGTATCGACCCAATTTACAACCTACACTAATTAGCAATATTTCCACAAAACAAGAAGTAAAAAAATATACAACCACAGCAATTTTGAGATTTTGAGCAGGCAGCACTGGATTTATTTATTTATTTATTTATTTGAACGAATGATATTTTATTCATTAGGCAGTAGATTAAACCTCACAATAAGATAGCAATAATGTGTTTCAAATACGAGAATCCGACTAAAACCTCTCACAAAATCATTAAACAAATTTTACAAGTTGTCAAAGGATTAACAAATTTTACAAGTTACTCGAAATTAATGAGAAGTTGAAACAATAAAATGAAGAAGAAAAAAACCAAAATCCAAAACCCAAAATTGTAAAGTTAAAACCTTTGAATTGGATTGGGGAAAGCAACATAAACATAAACAGTGAGAAGGAAAATGAAGAAGTAAATAAAGAGTTGGGAATAAGGTGAGAGAGAAAGGGGACCTAGAGTGGCAGGGGTGTCGTAGAAGACGGTGGCGGCTTGGACGACGGTGGCGCGGACAGTGGGGGCGGAGTAGTCGGTTCCCATGTCCACCTCCGCGATCAGTGGGGAAGACGAGGGTACCAGAGCCATTTGAATTTAATCTTTCGCGCTTCTTGTGTATTTTCTGTGTGTGTGGCTGAAGAAGGAGGATGACCGATCAATTTGGTACGACGAGAATTTCTGATGAATATGCGTTGACTGAGCGAGGAGCGACGTGACGTGTGAATTGTTGGTGGTGTGGCGGCTATTGTTTTTGGCACGTGATACAGAAATAAAGAATAGATCTCACTTTACTACTCTGATAAATTATTTTAGTTCAATAATGTTATTCTTATCACGTTTTCATACCATTTTATATAACATCTGATATGGATAGCCACATCATTTAAATTAATAAGAATTTAAGTTAAATTAAAAACCTTCAATAAACCAATAATTAAAAAAAAATGGAATTAAATAGTCATTGTGGCATACGAGGAGTCTTCTCATTCCTTCCTCGTTCAATCCCGTTTCTTCTTCCACGTCAGTTCTTTCACCCCATTTTTTTAGGCCAGTCAAATCCACCACAATCTAAATTAAATCTCATACGGCAATCTCTACTAATTTAGATTGTGATGGATTTGATTGATTTGAAAAAATGGCATGAAAGAACTAGCGTGGAAGAAGAAATGGGAGAAGAAGTAGGATTGAACGCGGAAGGAAGGAGAAGACTCCTCGTATGCCACAATCACCATTTAATTCTTTTATTTTATTTTATGAAAAAGCGCAAATATATTAAAGAGAAGTCCCCTTAGTACATCCAGACCAGTACAATAAAAAAGGAAAGCTTGACTACCAAAAGACGTGATGGACCTATCCCAAACATGGAGGTTTGCGTGCTGAAAACGCACATCCGTGACGGCATCAGCCACAAAATTTGCTTCACGGAAAACATGATTCCATGAGATGTACTTAAACGACCTGGCAATGAGTTTGATGTCCTCAACAATATTCCTTACTCTCCAAGGAACACCACTCGTACCCTAGACCACATCAACAACCAGCTTTGAATCTCCCTCTACCATTATCTTCTTAAGACCTCTACTCTTCACCATCCAAAGTGCATCCCTAAGAGCAATGCACTCCACAACATTTATTGTCACCTCCCCTAAAGATCTGGCTCCAGCCATTACCGGTTCTCCCCAGTCATTCCTTAAGATAAAACCCGTCGCCGCTACAAAGTTCCTGACGGAACTGTCAAAATTCGATTTGAAGAAATTGTCCCTCGGCAGTTGCCATCTAATCAACCCTTCTTGCTTCCTACAAGCTACATAATTTTTCTTATTGACATTATTGTACTCATTTGCCATACTAGTCGCCAAAAAAAACCACCATAGAAGGGTAAGCTTTGGCTTTGTTGAAAACTACTTGATTTCTCATCTTCCAAATTTGCCAGCAAATAATAAGAGCATAACTAAGATTTGATAAATTCTCATTATCATTATAATCTAAGGAGTAAAGTCATTCAAGACGACTGCAACTATTCTGATTGACAGGAGGGTGGACTTTTGGACTAAAATTCCAAACTTGTGGAGCACACTCGTAGTTAATAAAATAGTGATTTTGGTCTTCAAGATCCACATTACATAATAAACAAGTATCACTTATCGTATTAATAAACCTATGAATTTTACTCCTAGTTTGAAGCTTATTTTGGATTAGGATCAAAAGCCAACTAAATATGTTAACTTTATTGGGAATATTAAACTTCCACATTCTTTTTAACAAATCCTTTAAATCATCACTGATCATGGAATTTTGAATCCAAGTTGCAGATTTAACACTGAAGTTTCCATTAGCATTCAAACCCCAACATAATGAATCATTTTTATTATAGAGAGGTAACGGAATACTGCATATTTTCTCAGTGATTTCCTCATCCATCACCTCTCTCAACCACTCTCTATTCGAGGTTCCATTTACAATCAAATGACTTACCCTAAGGTTCAAATCAATATTGCTTAATTGATCCTCCTAGAACAGATTACAGATGGGGAAAGGAAAACCCCAGTTTTGGATCCATAACAGAATGTCCCTTCCATTTCCCACAATTCACCGAGCTCCATTTTCAATTACTGATCTTGCATTTAAGATTCCTTTCTAGGCCATCGAATGAGTTTGCCTTACCTTAGCTTCCATAAAATTCTCCCTTCGTAGCTACTTTTGTTTAAATTATTGAACCCACCAATTTTGGTCATTTGTAAGCACCTTCCAACCAAGTCTAGCAAGGCAAGTATTTTTAAATAAGTTACTTTTCCTAGTACCCTATCCCCCACTACATTTAGGTTGACACACCTTATTCGAAGCAATAGGGTTCATTTTACTATCGTTTCCACAAAGAAATCTCATATTCTCCTTAACAAGCATCTTATTTAGCTTATCTAGATATTTAAAGCACGGTATCATGTGATTTGGCATACTGCTAAGATTGGCCTTGATCAAAGTAACTCTACCAGCTCTCGAATGAGTATTTGCTTTCCATCCTGCCAGTTTAGTCTTTATCTTTATCATAATATCCTTTGTATTTACAGAGTCTCGCCAGCATATAACGTTGTTTATGCCCAAAAACTTACCGATTGTAATCTTGTGTTGAATTTGAGTAATATTGGCAATCTCATTACGAATTTGGTTAGTTGTATTTTCTGAGAAACAGATAGATGATTTATTAAAGTTGATCTTTTGTCTAAAGGCAGAAGCAAACATGTTTAAAACATTCAAGATGTTTCTAGTTGCCCCTTTTGACGCTTTAGCAAAAATGAGACAATCGTCAGCAAACATTAGATTAGAGACCTTGAACCCTCTAGGTTAAAAGCCCAATGCTAGTTTTAGGAGAGAATGCCACTTGATTAAAATGTCTAATTAACGGTTCCATACACAAAATAAAAATATATGGAGATAGATGATCCCTTTGCTTAATTCCCCCTGGACGGGTAGAAGTAACCATGAGCCTTACCATTAATCAGAACAGACGAAGAAGTAGAGGTAATGCACTCCATAATGAGCTTTATCCAATGATTATTCATCCCAAATTCAACTAGCACCAACCTGATATAATCCCAATTCAACATAACATAGGCTTTCTCAAGGTCTAATTTGATAACAATCGCACCCATTCTCCCTTTTCTACGCTTAAAAGTTGACAAAATCTCATGAGCAATTAGAATATTATCATGTATGGATCTCTTAGGAGCAAAAGCACCCTGATTATTCGAAATGCACTTTTCTATTATTGGCTGAAGTCTATTCACTATCAGCTTTGTTATAATTTTGTACGTCACATTACATAAGCTAAAGGGTCTAAAGTTATTTACTGTTTCTGGATTTTCTACTTTAGGAATTAGCGAAATTTTCGTTTGATTAATTAGTTTTAGGCACGAAACCATTCATAAAGAAGTCTTTGACTAACCTTATGATTAAAGGCCCAACAACATCCCAACATTTCTGGTAAAACACAGCATGAAAACCATCCGTTCCCGGGGCCTTCATCATGCCAATGCCATTTACAGCCTTCCAGATTTCATCATCACTAATTGGATTAAGCAAGGTCAAATTCTAGTCCTCACTATTACATATATCAATTATGCTAATGAAATTTGAAGTCATATTGTTATTCGAATTCGAATGGCCAGTGAAATGCAGTTTAAAATCCTGCACAAAAATTTGTTCCATTCCTTCCCTTTTTAACCACCAAAAACATGTACAGTCCTCAATTTTTAATATTTCGTTTCTTTTACGTTTGATGTTTGTCATTGTTTGAAAAAATTTGGTGTTCTTATCCCCCAATTCAAGCCAGTTAACTCTTGCTTTCTGAGCCCAGAGGATTTCCTCATTTTTAAGAACTCTATTTAACTCATTCCTTAACTTTGCCTCTTTGGCTAGCAATTGGACATTATTCGGATCCTCCATATTCCGGGCTTGGATTACTTTCAACTCATCAAATAACACACCTACTCTCTCATGTACGTCACCAAAAACCTCCTTATTCCATCCTTTAATCAAAGTTTTCAGGGCCCCAAGACATCCCCTCAACTTATTGTTGGGGTTACTCTCAACTTCCAAGCACCAAGCTCTTTTAACCACATTAGTAAAATCTGGGTGGTTCAAGCACTTAGCCAAGAATTTAAAGTCCCTTCGCCCAACAATATTACAGTGATTATTAGGGTGGCAATCTAACAGAATAGAGCTGTGGTTCGATCCAAAAATCGGATAATTATGGGGACTAGCGTTTGGACATAAATTCAACCACACTGCATTAGCAAGGGCCCTATCTAGCCTTTCAAAAATTAAATTATTATCTTTGTGTCCATTGGTCCAAGTAAAAGGAACCCCAGAAGATGGAAGTGAAACAAGACCTCCATTTTTCAAGAACGAAATTCACCATATGTACATTTCTGTTTCTATCACCCCCCCCCCCCCCCCCCCCCCCCCGCCCCACCTTCTCACTAGGTCTTAGAATATTATTAAAGTCTCCAACTAAAATCCTAGGTTGCACATTGGTATTTATACCATGAAGATTCAAAAGATCATCCCACAGTTATGGTTGCAGAAACTTATGTAGAGGAAACTAACACTCGAATTAATAACCTTAACATTGCAGTGGATAAATCTAGGGCAGGATGCAATTACATTAATAATAACAGTTTGGTCATCCCAGAACAGGCCAAGCCCACCAGCTTGCCTTCTGCACAAAACATAGAATTAAACCATTTACAAAAGACATTTTTTGAGAGCTTACCAAGACCAGACCTAGTTTCTAAAACACAAAAGACATCAAGGTTAATTAAACTAGACATAAACTTAAATTGTGCGACAAATTCAGGTCTGCTACACCCCCTGCAATTCCAAACTAAACACTTCATTAGTCAACATCCTCCACCTCGTAGCTAACCCCAACGACATCATTACCACTGTTTCTACTCCTCTTCCTACTCCCTATGAATTGAATCTGCTCAACATTCTCTTCTTCAGCCTCTATGAACTCCTCATCTTCCTCTGCAACAGTCTTTCCCTTTAGCTCTCGCCACATTTACCCCATCACCACCTTTAATGACATCGAAAACCAGAGCACAGTCTGGCCTCTACTTAGCAACTAAATTTGCCTTCGACACCCAAGTTTTGTTGCCTCTCACCACATTGTCATAAGCCCTCTCATCCCTTCTCGCACCACTT